AGTTTGCCTTTGAGAAGATGATCTGTTTATCTTCTCATCTGTAGTAGTGCACAAGAAATCTACAGCTCTGTGCATGTCAGGTGGGAATATTACTCATTACATGAAATATAGCTAAGTGGAACATTTTTTAAAACAAAGAAATAAAAAAACTTCCGAAACACTGAGGGACTCCATCGTTTCCTTACCTTTACATCACTGACTTTTACTTCCTCTGACTTTTCAATTTTTCTTGTGAAATATCCTACCTGCCATCATAGTTCACTGTGATGTCTCCAGAGAAAACTGCCACTGGATAATAGTTACAGAGGCAGTGAGTATATGCATCCAGTTGTTTTTTGTTTGTGTTTTGTTTGTGTTATTTCTGTTGTGTTGGGTTTTTTTTTACTTGTCATTTCACTGTTGAGATTTGACCATCCTGTAATTAGATCCACTTCCACACCAGTTTCTTTGACCATCATTGCCTTGTTTCCTGTTTTTCATTAGCAAAACTGTTTTCACTAAAACTCAGTTGAGGGAAAGACTTGTGAGTTTCTGACTTGAGTTGGCTCAACTGGAAGACTGATTTGCAAGCGCTTTCAGGCAGAAGCTGTCTGTCACACCATTTGTGTGAGTTGTGTTGTAGTGAGTGGTAAGAGCATTCAGAGAATGATCCATATTACTCAACCTAACTGCTGCAATCACTCCAAGCTTGACGTTAATGGCTGGTGTAACAGAAAGATCCATAACACAGATATGATTTCACATTGGCCAAGAGCCATAGTGTAATGCAACTACTTAAAGGTTCCTTACAATACCCTGCCCCTCAACAGTTGTCACAGTGTACCCTGATATGCAGTGTCATACTATGATACGGTATGAGAATATGTCCTGATATTGTGTGTTGTATAGCGGTGGTTGGTAGTGGAACAGTGCATGCCAAGATGTGTAGGATTTGGAAGCAAGAGTTGGAAGAGAATGAAATTTCTTTACGGTCAAACTTGGATTTTATATGCTACGCTATATGCTTTTATACTCACCACCTTCAAGCAAACAAAAACCTGTGTAAGTTATAACAAGATTTTTCTATAGATGGGAAATTATACAGAGAACTTCACAGAAAATGATGCCTTTTTTGTGGCAAATTTAATAATAATAAAAAAATAGAAACAGTATTCTTTCATAAGTAGAGAGCCTCACTTAAGAATAAGAAAATGAACAAGAAAATAATTGCATCTCTTCTGTGTATATAATTGTATCACAATTACATAATCCAGGTTTTATAATATGTTAGCAGTCTTCTGCATAAGAACATACAGGTATTTTAAGATCTTTCTGATTGATAGATTGCCATTTTGGAAGTACTTCTCCATTTAAAAGTAACAACTTTTCTCAAAAATCGTGTCTTTACTTTTCATTTTTAATGAACCATTCTTTAATGGCTTACCTGTTTCTTCCCAGCACAAGTCTTATGGGGAATGGCTGAGGGGACTGGGGTGGTTCAGTCTGGAGAAGAGGAGGCTCAGGGGAGACCTTATTGCACTCTATAATGATCTGAAAGAAGACTGTGATGAGGTGGGGATTGGTCTTTTTTCCAGGGCAACAGTGATAGGACGAGAGGGAATGGCCTCACGTTGCATCAGGAGATATTCAAGTTGGATATTAGGAAACAATTCTTCTCAGAAAAAGCAGTGAGGCAGTGGTACAGGCTGCTCTGGGAGGAGGTAGAGTTACCGTCCCTCGAGGTGTTTAAGGAAAGGGCACAAGTAGTAATTAGGAACGTGGTTTAGTGGGCAGTAGTGGTGGTAGGTGGATGGTAGGACTAGATGATCTTGGAGATCTTTTCCAACCTTAATGATTCTATAATCTCACAGTCTTTCTTTATGTAAAAATTCTCTGTGGTGTAACTGTCCTCCTATGTCTGGGCTGTGCTTTCCTTCATCCCTCCTGCACTTGGATCTCTATCTTAACAACAGGATGCTACCTTTACCTCCAGGCTGTTCTTCTGAAGCTGTGTGCAAACCCATTCTGACAACAAAGCGCTGTTACATAGCAGATCTGTTTGTTATTAATATATGTAGCATAAGAAATTAATCATTTTTATTAGGTGATGTTGCATCTTGTTTGGTCTAATTTCTTGTGGATTTTACCCAATTAGAAAAGAAATATTAACTGAGCTGGAGAGTCAACACAATTTTTGTGCAAAGAGTCTGGCCTCATCCAGGGCATGCCTCCAAGTGCTGCTCCTTGAAGGCTGCTGGTGGAGATGAAAGGGTAGGTAAAGGCTCGTTCAATTTTTGGCTTCCTCTTTTAGAGTGTACAACATAGTTCAACTTAGTGAAGCACATGCAGACTCTTCCAAGTTCATCATAAAAGGTCTACTAAGTGTATGCTGCTGAGGGAATAATCGACACATCTTCCCATCCATGCTTTCATTACCACCCCTCACTGCACAGCTCATTCTTTGCAACAGTCCAGCCAGCTGAGGGCTTGCCAGCAAAGGGAATTTTGCAGCTGTTTTGTAGAGCTGAAATCTCCAGCAGTGTCTCTGGCTGACCTCAAGGTCCCTCTGAAAATCTCTGCTGTCAGATGCCAGCCAGGAGACTAGAAAGAAAGGCAATTAGAACTGAGAAATACCACTTTGCCTGGAAAATGGGAAGGAGGGAATTCTTGTCCAGGTTCAATGAATGAGTGTTACACTCAGAGCACATGCTGGCTGTAAAATCTTTGCTTTCCAGGCCCATCTCATTGCATGGCTCCTTCATTTCAAGTGTTCTAATAAATGATCAGTTTGACGATAGAACAATTAGCACATCACATTGACAAGCACATCTTCTGAAGGAGCTAAGTAGGTAGAACAGGACTTACTAATTTCAGACAATTTTTGACGAGGATTTAAGCCTTTATGAGCAAGAGTTTTAAAATCTTTCTCCAAAATAGTGTCTGATGCACTGGGAATACAAAGATTTAACATTTCAGCGAGCATGGATTGAAGGACATGAGTCTTACTGAACCATTTGCTACATGTTTCCTGCCTGATGGGATATTTTGATGAACATAAAGCATAGTGATGAGGATGTTAACAGAATAAAATGGAGAATGTGATCTCCATAGTATAAACTAGGTCTCAGAGATGACATTGCCACCTTTAGATTTTTCTGAACAACTGAAATAAAATGCAATTTTCTGTCTTTTACAATGGAATCTACGAGGACACTAAAAATGCAGTTATAAACCAAGCCAGATGAACTTGCTGCTCTCACCAATTCTCACTTTTACAATGCAACCTTTTCCTCTGGGGCAGTATCTTTAGAAGCACTCAGTATTAGTGTGAATCTTGCCTTAGTAAAAATAAAAGCAGACATAAATTTGTTTAGAGGGAATGTGGGAAATGGTGAGGAAGAAGGGATATAACCTCATGCCCATGTGCACGTGCAGAGCAGTGTGTTCTATGTCACATGGAAAAAAAACACTTTTTCCTCCCTCATCCATGCTCTGCCTGCGTCTTTGTATGCAGCTGTAGAAACTGAGCTGGACACAATAATGAAGCTATTTGTAAATCTCTAAGAGCATTGATAACACAGCTGGGTAAATGCATGTGCAGGCACCTAGTGCAAATAATCTGCGATGAAAATGAAGTGAACTCAAAGTGATCTATGGCCATACAAACTTGCCATAATTTTACACTCTCCTGCCTTTTTCAAGTTCACCTGTGAAATTTCAATTCTTTTAAGGTATAGTTTCTCCTTTTGAAGCTGTTACAAGAAAAGGCTTAAAAGGCTCTTGCATCCCTTTATAGTATATCTTTTGTCTAAATGGCTGTATTTCAGATCTACTTGTAAAAGGGACCTTAATGGTGATCTTCTGTAGTGCAAAATGAAGCTAGTTTAAGTTTTTCACAATATAGATACATCTTATCAATGCTGTGTAATAAGTAAGAAACTTTGTGGAGCTGCAGTGACGGGGTGGATGTTCAGGATGGTATCACAGAATGCCTATCATGAACCTTAGCAGATGCTGTCCTTTAAAATAATGTATTAGGCTATACCTAAGAACATAGCTGGAAGTGTCTCCCAGGCTTCATCATATATGAGCATTTATTTATAAAGCATCCTTATCTCCTCAGCATATTATGGGAAGCCATCCAGAGGGATCTATACAGGCTGGAGAAGTGGTCCCACATGAACGTAATGAGATTCAACAAGGCCAAGGGCAAGGTGTTGCACTTGGATCAGGGCAATACCAGGTATTTATACAAACTGGGAGAAGAACTCTTTTCAGAGCAGCCCTGCAGAAAAGGACTTAGGGGTCCTGATGGATGAAAAGCTGGATATGAGCCAGCAGTGTGCGCTTGCAGCCTGGAAGGCCAACTGTGTCCTGGGCTGCATTAAAAAAGGGGTGGCCAGCAGGGAGGGGGAGGAGATTGTCCCCCTCTACTCGTATCTTGTGAGGCCCCATCTGGAGTACTGCATCCAGGCCTGGGGACCCGTTGTCCCCGTTTTGAAGGTTCAGTCCGCCTAGGACTAGCAAATGGCTAGGGCCATTGCAACACTGACACCAATGTGAGAATGTAGCAAATGGCATTTATTGCAACTACACAGCGGTTTACATGCCCTACGTGCTTCGTCTACGCCCCTAAAGCATGCATCATAAATCCATCATAGAGCAGGGGAGGTCCTGACGCGTCACATCCCGATACCTCATTCACACCTACTACAACAGGAGACCGTAACACAAGGAAGATGCAGAGCTCTTGGAATGAGTACAGAGGAGAGCCACAAAGATGATCAGAGGACTGAGGCACCTCTCCTATGAAGAACGATTGAGGGAACTGGGATTGCTTAGCTTGGAGAAGGCTCTGAGGAGAACACATTGTGGCCTTCCAGTACTTGAAGGGAGCATATGATCAGGAAGGGGAATGGCTGTTTATGAGGGTGGATAGTGATAGGACAAGAAATAATGGTCTTAAGCTGGGAAAGGGGAGGTTTAGGTTAGATATTAGGAGGAAGTTTTTCACACAGAAGGTGGTGACACACTGGAACAGGTTGCCCAAGGAGGCTGTGGATGCCCCATGCCTGGAGGCATTCAAGGCCAGGCTGGATGTAGCTCTGGGCAGCCTGGTCTGGTGTTTGGTGACCCTGCACATAGCAGGGGGTTGAAACCAGATAATCATTGTGGTCCTTTTCAACCCAGGCCATTCTATGATTCTATGATTGTATGATTCTGTGATTTCTACCAAGATGGAAATTCTTTCTTTAAGGACACCTATTCTTCAAACAATCCCATGTTATGTACTTTCTTTGTTCTTGAGATCTGCTTTTGTTCTTCTGCACAAAGCAAGCACTTCTAAGATTGCATTTCCCTCGTCTTCTATTTTCTGGTCACTCCTGCTACATGAGTCAAGATCAAATGACATCATATAACTAGTAGCCTTCAAAATAAAATCAAGTTGAAGAGACTACAGAAGGAGCTAGCTGTCTTACAGTGCACAAAATGCTACCCCTGTCTATAAAGTGTCATTTTAATGAGTCATCTTGTCATCATTACATACAAAATGACTAAGTTTGTTAAATATGCCAGTTAATCTATTGAAGTTTGATTTAATGGCAATCAGTATAATCTATTACACATCACATTAATCCATTAATGAAAGCATCATCTGCAAGTCAGCTGTCTCTGCTTTTTATCTGCATCCAGACAGTGCATTTAGCAAGAGTGCCCAATAAAATTTGACTATTTATCAAGCTGTCAGTATTCTGTTCAGAATTTAAGGAATCACTTTTTAATGCTCTTCCATTGTGCACCTTAATTAAGGCACTGAGTAGATGAGTGGCACCTACATAGAGTGATTAAGCAACACTTTTTCAGCCACAATTTCAACCACATCACATAAATGTCTGAAAGTTTTCCTTTCATAATGAATACAGGTACCTGTGTAACTTCTGCAGCCGCAGAGCTCTTAGTTATATGCAAAGAAGCCTTATCCATTTCAGTCAGGTAAAACAGCGTAATCGAAATGACTCTTCTGTCTCATTTGATTAAGTTGAGGAGATGCTATCTGTGACTGAAGCTGATGAATTCCAGACTACTCCTTCACTTAAAAAAGAGAACATATCTGACATGCTTGACTCTGAATGACTAAGAAGGTGAGCTGAGAAGGTTAGGTTCACCTCACCAAGATAGAAGTACCTGGCCAAATCTGAGTTTCCTCTAGAGATAACAAGGGAGAACAGGCGCTTTCAAGGTATGACTCATCATACTATAAGTAACTAAAATAGCTTGTGCACTAATAATGCCTCTTTCTTTTAACTGTGAATGCATAGCATCTGACTAGAGTAGATAAAAGCTAGTCACTGAAGCTGTTTAAAATGAATGATAAGCCTAAGAATGCTGTTGGATAAGTGACGTGGTTATTATTTGTCTTGGAGCACTAATTGGTGTCACAACGGGAAGCCAGGGCACTGACTATAGGTGTATGTGAAGTGCGGCTTTTCCTTCCACTCCAGCTTGGCTGCCATGGTCCTGCAATCTGTTGTGTTGGTCACAGCTTTGCTTTCATCTTGCAGCCAAATGGATTCCTTTTTTACCATTTCCCTCTGACTTATGTCATCTTCTCCTGACATCGCTTGCAGTTCTGGGGAATCTTCACTTTCCTCATACCTCTCAAACAGTGTTATCTGCCACCACCTCCCCTTTCACCAGGCCCCATACTTCTGATAGTGTCAGTTTTGGAGCTTTTCTCATGGAGATACCAGCTCCCTTCCTCCCAGTGACCAGCAGGTACAGATTCTGCATCAGAAAAGCCGTGTATGAATGTAGTAGTTCTTCCTCATCCTAAATATGACCACCAGTTTCCCAGTCCCTAGATTTTCAGGTGCGTTGCCAGGATGTTTGTTAAACAAAATGCTTCCACAGAGTCTCTGTCCCTACCTTTTCACTCTCTCTCCCCACTCACCCCAACTGTTTCTCCATATTCATTGTCATGCTGTTCTTATTAGATGATGGTACAGTTCTGGTAAGATTGCTAACATAATTAGGAACATATATACACATGCAGATTGCTTCCTGCTGAGGAATGTTTGTGGGGAGATGATATTATCTTTTATTAGAGCAACTAATGCAGCTGAAAAAGTACATAAAATTTTGGGCACATAGTTCTTTCTTGGATCTTCTCTTCAGGTTACGTATTATTGGTGATGTAATAATAAAAGGAAAAACAGCAGAGATTTCATCATTAGCCTTTGTTCCAGGGCTTTCACTCCCCATCACTTTAAGAAACAGTCAATGGTAATGTGCCCCCACCTCTGAAGGAGTATGTAGTCAAAGCTAATTTGTTTCCCCAAAATAATCTTCTCTTCTTTGTCTTTCTTCCTTCCTCTCTAATCTTCTGTGATCTGTTAGCACAAGAAAGAATTAATGGTTTAATTTAAGCTTTGGGCCTTCCTTTCATAAATTCTTAATTTAATGTGAATTTCAGGAAAATGAGGAATGCAAAATATTTTTTTTTCACCCATAAGCACGAGGTAGAAAGATCCCAGTCTGATTTTCAACTAGTGTAAATTAACACAGTTATGAATAGGTGTTTGTGGGAAGTTACGCATGTTTACATTAGATAGTTTTGCTTTTTGTCCATTCTCCTATTTGTAGGATACTGTGGGCATTTTACAGGTATGGAAGTATGCAGATTCTGTGGGCACTGGAAAATGCTGTTTTTCACAGATGATCCAGTGAGGTCGCTCAGCCTAAGCACTCACCAGCAGTGGTGCAGTTTTATTTTGTATTGTAGGAGCACACAGCACACCGAGTGAATCTTTGAATTTGCTTTGGTTGCAGACAATATTCCTGTAGTATTCTTGTGCTGCTGTTGCAGTGGGACAGGATAGGAAGAGAATTGGGAATCAGAAATATCCAGTAACTAAATGTATACCCCAGAGGTTAATACTGGGTTTAGTCCTGTTTAACATCTTCATTAATGGTCAGTATGATGGGGCATTGTGTAAGCACAGCAAATTTGCAGATGACATCAAACTGGGAGGAAGGATTGATATACCAGGGAGCTGTGCTGCCGTTCAAAAGGAATTGGATAGGCTGGAGAAACTGGCTAACAGGAACCTTGTGAAGTTCAATGAGGAGAAATGCGAAGTCCTGCACCTTGGGAAGAATAGCCCCAGGCAACTGTACATTTTGAGGACCACTCAGCTGGAAAGTAGCTCTGCAGAAAAGGACCTACGTGTTCTGGCAGACACCAGGCTGAACATGAGACAGCTTTTGCCTTTGTGGCAAAGCAGATTAATGCCATCCTGAAGTGCATCAAGCAAAGCATTGCCAGCAGGTTGAGGGAGATGATCCTCTCTACTCAGCACTGGTAAGGCCATGCTTCAAGTGCTGTGTTCAGTTTTGGGCACCTCAGTACCAGAGAAAACTGGACATATAGCAGCCTTCTAGTATCCAAAAGGGTCCTAGAGGAAAGATGGGGAGGTATTTTTCATGAGGGTATGCAGTGACAGGACAAGGGGGAATAGTTTTAAACTGAAAGAGGGTAGATTTAGACTAGATATTAGGAGGAAATTCTTTACAGTGATGGTGGTGAGACACTGGAACAGGTTGCCCAGTGAGGTTGTGGGTGCCTCCACCCAGGAAGCCCCCCCAGGACGGGGCTTTGAGCAAGCTGGTCTAGAGGGACGTGTCCCTGCCTACAGCAGGGGTTGGAACTAGGTGATCTTAAAGGTCCCTTCCAACCCAAACCATTCTATGATTCTGTGATTCTATGACCCTGGGGAGACTCCAATGAGAGATGGCATCTCCAGAGATCATGGAACAGAAGCTTGGAGTCCTGAGACTGTTCATTGTGGAGAAGAGGTGGCTCAGGGGGATCTTGTCAGTGTCTGTAAATATCTGAAGGAACAGGGCAAAGAGAAGGTAGCCAGACTCTTTTCCAGTGGGGCCCGGTGCCAAGAGAGGAGGAAATGGGCACAGACTGAAACACATGTGATTACCTCTGAAAGTCAGGAAGCGTGAAAATTGCACAGGATCTTTTGCTTAATAGTGAGGAATGAGAGAGGAAACATGTTTTCTGTCACATGCATGTCTTCTCTGTGTTTCATTCCTCATCAGTTCTTCACTCCCTTCACCTGTTCTGTTTTCCTTTCATCTCCCAGTGCTTTCCACTTAGGTTCCCTCTTTCTATGTGATCTCATCTCAAAAGTAAAAAGGCAATGCAGAGTGATGTGCTACCTCAACCATAATTCTTTATTTTGCTGTATGCTGCCCTTCTCCCAAGACAGACTTGACTTATCTGTTCCAGATTGCTCCCTATTCCAGTGTCCACTGAAGGTCCACTCATGGATGTCCTACCTTCATGATCATAAGTTATGCTAGTAAAAATCCTAATTTTATAAATGAGTAAACAAAGATTAAAGGAATCAATAGTTTACAGGCCGGTTTGGTCCAGTTCTGTGGCTAATGGGCTGGGGGGGATCCATGGACCCACACACTGGGAAAAGGGGAAGGGGAAAAAAGAAAAGGCTAGAGAGATGGCCCTAAAAGCAAAACAGCATAGATGATCTGAGGAGGAAAGTTAAATTACTAAATATAATATTGGAAAAAAATATAACACAATATAATACAATATAATTAAAATTGAGGCTAATAAATGAAATGAAATGAGAGAGTGTCCAAAACCAAAGGCCTTACTCTAATGCTGAAGGCGAGATGATTAGGGAGCACACACACTGCAGAGATGAGCAGAAAGGGAAAAGGGACATCTCCTGATTTGCAAACAGTTTTATCTTTCTCTCTGAATGGAAAATGGGAACAGAACAGTGAAAAGTCCTCTGGGAGACAGAGTTCTTCTCTTCTGAGAATCAGGTACTTGGAAAATCAACAGTCCATGAAACTGGAGCATTACCTCAAGTGCACTACATGATGTTATGATGTGGAATACTGAAAAAAATATCATAAAACCATGACAAAAGGCTTTTATCTTCACTATCTCAGATGAAGACTAGCCCCTGTGGCTTGAGAATGCTCCCAGATCCTGGGTTTTAGTGTCTGCCCTAGCCAAGGTTCAGCTCTATGTTTGGATGAGATCTAGGTGCATACTGTCTTTTCCCTTTAGTATCACAAAATACACAATGTAAGCAAGTCTT